CCAACATGTAACCGGGAATTTAGTGGAAATGCATAATATTGAGTGTCCTCCTATTAATAAATCAGAAACTCTGAGGGTTCTTCCTAGCTGTGATAGTTAACTTTTGTGTCAACTGGACTAAGAAATGCCCAGTGGATTGGATTAGCATAGTTTTCCCTGTGATTGAATGAATGGACTCACTGAAGACAGAGGACCCACCCTGAGTGTGAGTGGCACCAACCAATAGGCTTGTAGCCTGGATGAAACAAAAAGGGAAAGAAAAAGAAAGAATCCCTTCTGTTTCTTCAGAGGAGCCCCAGTCTTCACCTCCACCTTGGAGGTCCATCTCCTGGCTTCCAGTGAAGACTCATTAGCCTTCCAGAGTCTTCAACTGAACAGACTGTCAACTGGGCCCCATACTTCAGACCCAACACCATACCAGGGAACAGTCAGACAGTACCAGACACAGAGTCACTCCCAAGTCATGGACTTGCAGCCTCAAAAATAAAGAAACTCTTCAGATTTTTTCCTCAGAAATTAGAAATATTTTGGAGTAAGAGTCTAACAAAGCACTTAGCATCTAACATATACAATCATAAATGTCTTTATACTACAAAATTATTTCTAAAATCTTTAGAAAGCTTATGGAAATAATTTTTAAAATACAGACAATACAGTATTATATTTATGAAACTAAAAGAAAATAAAGCAAAAATATCTTTCATGAATAACAGGTTTTCCATTATCCAATTATCCTTGCAATGGCAAAAACTCTGGGATTTCAAACTCAAAAACTACAAAATAACACAGGCATTATCTTTGGCCATGCCAACTACAGAGTTATGATTTAAGAGATCAGACAAAAAATATTTTAGGCTTTGAGAACCATACAATCTCTTTTGTAACTACTCAATACAGGTGTTGTAGTGGAAAACACACACAGACAATATGCAAAGGGATAAGCAGGGCCATGTTCCAATAAAACTTTATTTGTAAAACAGGCTGTTAGCCAAATTTAGCCCATGGGCTATAGTTTGCTGGACCCTGTAGCAGACCATGAATCATGAGGATATAGTTTGGGACCAGATGGTAGAGGATCCTTTCAAACACACAGGTTATCAAACAGCTAACAGGGCAGGTAGGCCTATTGATCTGCATGAAAGCTGACAAGTCATTTAGTCTACGGATTCTGAATTTTAATTGTTTGAGCCAACTTCAACTGTCTGCCCTAGCATCTAAAAGAAGACAGGGTATGCTTAGAAATGCACACATGGGAAAAATACTAAGACAAAGTAGGGAAGCTTGTTTTGATTGGAATAAAATTTTATTTGTGACACTAGTTTTAACTAACTGTACCAGGAAAAAAGATTTGCTAAATTTTAACTAAAGGATTAAAAACAACTAGCCCAAGAATATTTCAGAAAAATGCAGGAATTTTAAAAAGAAAAAAGGATCTTGAGAATTGCTAAGAGAGCAGATTCTGAAAACGTTCTCACCACAAACACAAGTATGTGAGGCAAAGTTAATTAGCTTGATTTACTCTTTCCACATTCTATACATTTCAAAACAATATGTTGTACATACACAATGTTTGTCAATTAAAATTTTTTTTAAAATTTTAAATTGTGGTGGCCAAAAGGAGAGCTGATTTACTAGAAGAATCTGAAATCTCTACAAGAATCTTTTCTAGAGCTATTTCTCAAAACACTACTTTATGGGCTGCAGAGTATTTATTCTAAACATTAAAGGCACTATTTTGTTCTTAGTAATAAAATTAGCTCATGAATACCTTAAAAACACTTGAGAATAGTTTAATTTTTCCTTTCAAAAAACCTTTCCCAGTCAATCTTTGACTAGTTTTGAGAAATCTGACAATCATATTATTTTGATAACGATAACAATTCTATTATTCCTTCCACGTGCCCTTGAAATAAATTCTGAAAATATTTCTATTCACCATTTTTCCATCCTAAAATATAGATTATCTTCCTTTTCAATTATGCTCAAAAATCCATAGTACCCACGATTATATGATAATCATATTCATGGAACAAACCAACACATTTTTTTCTAAGTATGAGAATACTAGTCAGACAGTAGGAAAAAACAGTTGAAATATAAACTGAATCAAACTACCTAGGACACACAGTCAATGAACAAATGGTGAATGTTGATAATTCTTTGTTTTTCTGGAGACTTCATTAATATTTACTCTTTGATTAAAGTGCTCAAAAGGAACAAGAAGGAAGAGGAGGAAGTGGTAGGGAAAAGAAGACTAAGAACACATTGAATTGTCTTTGATCCTGAAGACCCCTATTTTTGTCCTAAAAGTTTTATTTTGTTGTGTGCAGAGCTTAGGTCAAGGCTCACAGTTTTGCCTATGGATGTCCAACTGCTCAAGTATTATTTGTGGAAAACGCTATCCTCCTTTCACTGAATTTCTTTTCTACCTTTGTCAAAAATTCGGTGAGCATGAAACAGGGGAAAAGATAAAGTAACTCTCCTTGTAAGTTTTATTATATTGATGCAATTTAGGTTGTTAAACTGACACTTTTTTGGTGGGTACTAGGGATCGAACTTGGGACCTCGGACTTGTGAGGCAGGCGGCGGCACACTGAGCTAAATCCCTGGCTCTAAACTGAAACATTTTTAAAAGGCAGGATTTCTCTGGTCCAAAAATGAGCCATGGAACCAAGTCTAGAATTCAAGAGTATTCGAGGAATGGGTTCTGAACACCAGCACTCTTCCTGCAACCCTTTCCTGTTTGACTGTGGCTCTTTCCTCTTTGCAAATGAAAGCAACACTGTACTCGATTTGGTACACATTTCTGGCATTTCTTCACCAGTAATTTTTTTTAATGTTTTATTTTGGATTAACTTCAGGCTTGCGCAAAATTTGAGACATATTACCGAGTTTCCACACACTCATCACCAGGATATCCTTCAGTCCTCAGCAGCTTTTCAGGGGCTGACAAACAAGGGAATTTCATCTTAAAGTGTTAACCATTTATACTGCCAGCTGAACAAAACCAGAAACACATCTGGAAATAAATTCAAATCTGTAGTTACTGGTTAAGTAAACTCTACAGAACTTGCAAATTTAGTATTCTAACCACCACCATTCAGTTCCCCATTCATGTGTCACCTCAGAATAGGTACAATATCCCGTCACTGTCTAGTGCAATATTCTTTTCCTTTCATTCACACCATCTGACTCACTCACTAGCCACATTTGTGAGCTGGCTGACTTTCTATCCCCAAGGGCCTCACTGTCCTGTCTTGCTTCTTGCTCCCTGTTATAACCCCAGGGGCATGGAACAGTGTCTGGTAGATACTCAATAGATCTCTGGAAAAATGAATGAATGTGTGAAACCTACATAAATGAGTGAACAATTTGGATCTATTGGGGATGATGTAAGACACATAATAAAAGACACATCTATTTAGATGACTGCTGCTCTGAAATTTCAAACCTTTACATATCTACCACCAGCTGTTAAGAGATGAACTTTGGAGAGTCAAACTTCTTATGCTGGCTCATTGCAACAGTTCTTCCTGGCATTATTCAGTCAATATGCAAAGTCAATAAAGTAAATTTTTCAATCATCCTTAGAGTAATTAAAATATAAATCATTCTTCCATATGCAAAAGCCGATTTGCAAAAGATCACAAATACTGGACTCCAAACTTATAGTGGTTTGGGAAGGAGACATTGTGGAAAGGTATGTTAAAAGTTTAAAATGTATAGGGGGAAAGAAGCCTTTCTTTCTTCCTTCCCAACAATTACCTGTGACATTCAGGTTCAGGAAGCCCCAGGTTGTATGAGGAAGGAGAGGAAGGTGGAAGGAAAGAAAGAAGGGAGGAATACTGTTCCTATATTTTCTGTAAGTACTTATATTTTCCCTCCCATAGCCAAACAGTACACATTGTACTGTATTCCAGAATACGCACCATAAAATATCCATTTATAAAAATAGGACTAAAACACGGGGGCACCTTTGGGCTCTGTGCTTCACTTAGAGGGTCAATCTTTCCTTTCTTTCGGGATCTGCACTATGATAAAGGGTGGACATTAAAAATGCATTCACTGCAGCACAAAGCAATCCACTAGCCAAAGAGCACACTAATTTCACAGTCACTTCTGGAACATCCTCTGCTATGATGTAATGAATTGCAAATCATTCAAATTATCTGGAAAAATGGAAGATTTAATAGACTAACCTCACTGCCAAGAAATACATCAACATTAATACTAAAAATAGAGTCAAAGTAAAAATTCATCTTCTGATGCCAAGCATAAATTCTGTAAAAAAAAAAAAAAAAAAAAGCTCATGAATGTGCAGCTTGGAAAATGTCCCCAGAAGTACTAATGCCACAACCTTCCACTGTGGGGATCACTGACATGGAGAAAGCAGAAAGCTTCAGCAAATTTGAATTGTGAAGACCAAACTCACTACGCCTAACATGGTAAATGGCATATGTGAAATAGCTCTGAAAATAGCAAGTGCAAATGTCAAAGATGACAAGTAGAACACAGTAAGTACTACTAGCACTGTATGAGTCAATTAGGTCATTCCGGCAAAGAGAAAACTATCGGTTGTTTTTTACTATGAAAGATTATTAAAAATTGCACACATTTTTAAAAATGTGTGTATGCATTAACATGTAGGTTTGCCTGTATGGAAAAACCAAGGACAACATTTCAGCCATTTTTAATTGTAGGTCTACAAACTCACTTAGTCAAGAAGGAAAAGGTGGGTTCTTATTTCCACATGATGCGAGACTGCAGACAGGAAATTGACAAAGGTTAACGATATTTTTGCATGTTTTCTACTTATCCTTAAAACGATAAAATAGAACTGTTTACTGACATGACTAAACATAATCAGGATTACAACATATTATTTTTAGAGCTGACATAAAAGCAGAAGGTACAAGAAACATTTTCTTGTGACTTGGTAATGCCTCACTAATCTTTTGCCTATTGAACCCTGCTTTTGGTTTTCAGCCTGTATAGCTCACCTTGTATCTTGGAATCAAAGTCTTCTAGATTGGCTTAACTGTCAGAGCTGTTTCACAGTGGTTTATCCTCAGATGGGTGTAGCTCCTCTCCTTTGGACGCTGTCTGTCTGTTAGCCCTGCTGGGATTATGTGAGTAAAACTGCAGAGGTGACTCCTTAAATCTCTTCGTTTGCTAAACACAGCAAGGGGCAGAACCTGAAAAAGAAAGATTACAGTCATAAAATACATCTCTACAGAACTCCCTTGAGCCTTTCAGGAGGACTGCCTATGACCAATCAGGAAATTCTCTCCAATACATCTTTCAAAGAGAAAGTTCATATGGCAAGGTGTCTCTACTTTTTATTTCATTGGCTCCATCTTATGTAACCTCAGAAAAGTAACCATTAAACTCCTCAGTAATCAATAATATTCATAATTTCCACTTTGCCCAGAGTTTGGAGTGAGAATTCTCTCAACTGATACAGCAAATATTTTCTAAGTGAGAACAAAGTTTATTTTCCAGAACCCAGTTCAGACCCCTGATGAAATGTAAATCTCAGACAGGGGTTTTTAAAAGAAGTATGAGGCATACATCATCACACACATACAGGGATGTGGAATCCCTGGTGCTCTGATGAAGACCTATTAATAATAACTTGCCTTATGAACTGTTACTGGACTCCCAGAGCAATCCCAAGCCACGAGAACTGACTATGCTAAGTCTGCAACTCGACATAATTTCGCAGAAAGCAAAGAAACAGGGTACTATGAGAAATTAAATATGTTCCCTTAAAAAAAAAGAAAGACAAAACCTGACAAGAAACCCACAGTGGAAGGTATACTAATTACCCTGATCCTGAAACAGGACACCAGCTTTCTCCTTCAAGCCTTAAATCCCTCTGAAGATGTGTTTATTCACAAGATTGCTTTAAAAACTACTACCCAGGTTTGCTTTTTTCTTTTCAAGTCTGCTCTTTCATGCTACTTTGCTTTTTGTCTCTTTTTACTTATGGAAAAGGAATAAGATGCACCCCCTGCCCTACCCACGGAAACACTATGACTTATGAAACTGCAAAAGAGGTCTAACCAGCAGCCTACACTCTGAGTACTCATTTAAGTACCATCTTTCTGTAAAAACAAAAAAGTGCTTCTTCCAAGTCTGTCTCCATCTTTTAAAAGTGCAGAAAGTTTATGTGTCATATGACAATCCCATGTATCTTACCGGTCTAAATAAAATGTTATTGTTGACTATAATGATAATACAGAATAACTAAGGTTAGTGTCCATTGAGATTATTTTTATATGTTCAGCAATTTATCTTTTTATTTTCTACACACACAGCTCAATGTATGTTCTTTAATCTCATATATTTATAGGCAGATGGAATATAAATGGTCAGCTATAAAACTCCCCAGGTCACGTTTTCCTTGCTTTTCCTATGTGGACTGAGCCAAGCCGGGAGGAAAGAAGCATGGTCAGAGCATCCTCCGCCATCCTGCAGTTCTTTCTGCCCCTCATCCCCGCCCCTACAGGCCTCTGGCCTTTCTGTTCTCTGCAAGTTCTTGAAAACGGCCATTTGGAACCATAAAGAAGAACAGAAGACCACTGGGTAAGGTTAAGATTCTCACTACTCCTGTTTCTCCCAGAAGCAGCAGAAGGGAAATAGAAAAGGTGAATCTTACCTCCTACACCTAAAGTTTTGCTTTCCCCCCATCAAATCATATATATTGTATGTGCATTCTCACAAGCTATGTACATCAGACCTGGGACCAAGTAGCATTTTTCTACTTCCTTCCCCCCCCCACAGTCTTTGCCAATATGCCCTTCAGAATCCAGCTCAAAAACCACAGTTTCTAACTCCTTCAGTGACCTTCTCTGCTAGAAAAGCAGCTGCGTACTGCACCTGGCCCCTTTGGTCATCTCCACTCCTGTAAGGCTGTCCTGGTCTTACAGGCAGTTACCTGTGCTGGCGCCTCTTATCTCCCCTATCAGACAAGTACACTTTGGGAAGCAGGGAGCAGCACTTGGATTGTTGCACACAGTATGTGTGAGAGTTAAAAGTGGAGATGTACAAGGTTTCAATTTATATTTGCTCTGTAAGGAACTAATCTGTTCCCGTCCGTTTTGCTTTTAAGACCACATAAGTGAGTATTTTCACACTGTGTATGCAATGTCAAGACCTAGGAGATTTGGCCTATTCTGAAAGTTTAATGAATGTTCATGTGGACATACTATACAATTTTCAAAAAGACAACCACCGAGACAGAGTGTAGCACTTTCTATAGCCTACCAGGAGACTGAACACTCAGAGTTAAAAATTAGGACCACACTACTACCACAGGGGTCAGGATAACCAATCATCTCTGATAATCACTCAAGACAGGAATAGTATAAATGTATGTCTTTGGTTTCAAAAGGTTGATTAGAACAGAGTTTTATAGAGCCACACTCACATTCTATGATTTCAGGTGACTAATGTATTAACTTTGATTTGAAAGCGAAGAGTTCACCAAGTGGCCACTCAATCTTACTTTAATTAAGAAGTACACAGGGTCCTATTTTACTTTGAGCACAAATAGTACACAGGGCAGAAGTCCAAAGGTGAAACGTTATAAAGTTTGAGCCTGATGACTCCTTGTGACAATTTTTAAAGCTCTAATTAAGAAATGCACTTATAGGGAGGGCACGGACAAGGGGGAAAAATGAGAACCAAGACCTGTCATGTAAAGGCACAAGATCCCAATAATGAATGTAATTGTACTGTATACCTAAAATGTACCAATAAACTTAAAAAAAAAAGAAATGCACTTAGAGAAGGGAAGAGGTTCTTTTCAAAAATATAACCAAGACTGGTGCCTTTTTTTCCTTACAGCTTTTCTGGTTTTTATCAACACATATTGACAAAAAGAGTCATGCTGTGATTTAAGGATACCTCTGCAGAACCAAAAAAGTTTCCAACATCTTCCTTCTAAGATACTAATAAGTGAAAAGATGTAAAGGTTGGAAAGATGGATTTAAATAAATTCAACCCACACCAACCAGTACTCAGGTAAGAGACTCTGGAAAGTCAATGGTTCCTTCTGAATGGCTCATTCAGGAAGCAAATGATCCATTATCTTAGCAACAGAATTATTAATCCTGGTGACTAATCGTCCCACAGCTTGAATCTTGCCTCCTATACACCGCGTCCTTGTCTAGCGCATTCTCCACACCTTCCTCTCATTTCTTATTTAAGCCTGTCAGAGTCCATGGCATATTCTATCAAAGACAAGACTGTACCATACAGCTACTAAGTAAATGTATGTGTGGGACAGCGGGCTGCAGACAAGAAAATAGCATAGGAGCATCAACAGGTCTTCTAGTGTTAAAAACAAACTTTGCTAGAGAGACTCCTCCGGGAAACAAGTCAAGAACAAGGTAGAGAAAGAGAAAAAACAAAACAGATAAAGAAAAGCACCACATAGCTTTGGGGCTTGCACCAAGAGATACTCTGTCCCTCTAATTTTTTATTGGGGTTGGACTCATGGTCCCGGTGGGCTGCTCAGACAACAGAGCAGTGGTGTTTGTCCCTTAGATGCAACATCTTTGTTTCCCTGACCAGGAGCCAGATGTGACCAATGAGTCGCCAAATGGAGACATGACAAAACAAGCTCCATCACTCTGTAAAATAATAAAGGAAAGTTTTGTAAAAACAGTAAAGACAAAGACAACAGTAATAACCAGAAGAGTGTTTACACAATGCCAATAACTTATATATCAAATCCATTTCACAAGGGAAAAAAAAAGAAATTAGATGCTTTTTGACTTTGAAATGAGATGCTATTTTCTGTACATATGTGGCCTGTGGTTTTATTTCAATGCTGACATTACTTCTATAAAGAATTGGTTTCAATTTAGGGATAAACATCTTATACTTGTATTGCTTTTTAAAAAAATATGTAGCCCAAGACATACTTCAAGACCTTTCTTTGCTAACTTGTTTATTTTATCTATCACCACCATGCAAGGTGGTGAAAAGATCACTGTTTTACTTTTTTCACTGACAGCAGTGTTTTGATACGGAACTTATTTTTGTCCTTCTTCCCTGTGATAATCCAAGTACACCAAGGGTTTCTACCCTGTACCTCAATCTTAGAGAATACATTTTAGTACTGCAATTCAATACATTTTATGGAAACAGGTTGTCCTGAAGATGAAAAATATACACCCCAGTCACTGTTACCTAATGACTGACTATCCCACCTTTCTTGAAATGTGTCTGATTTCATTAATGCTAGAATTTATTACAGAAATTAAAATGCATCAGCTGAAACAGCATATCAGTTTCCATAAATAGTGATTGATTGATATACTCAATAGTAAATCAAGTATGGAATTATGACATTAAAAAATCAAACCCAGCGACTAAAGAGGAATCTAGAAATATAAAAAACAGGCCTCCTTCCTTTAGGCCACTGAGAGATTAGCTAAACATAATGAGAAAAGCATGTGAATAATCCTTTTAAATTATAAAATCTGAAAATGTGTGTTGTGGGTATTCATGGCATGGGCATACAAATTTTAGCATGGAGTCTGTGGGCTGAGAGGGAAGTAGCTTAGAGGAAGTTGTTCAGAAGCGGAGACATTTGAAAGATGAGTAGTCAGGCAGGAAATGGTCCAGCAGGGATGAATAAAAGACATTTCAGTGAGAAAGCGTATGAAAATTAAGTGATGGGAAAGCGTAGTCTATAGGTCTAGTACTCAGAGCTGAACGTTCAAAAAAGGAGAGTTTGAGGAGGGGCCCCTGATAGGAAGTTTGGAACAGTGCGAGTCTTAATGATGGTGAATGCTGCATTTCATTTCACTGTGAGCTGTACAATATCAGGAGCAAAGTCCAGAGTAAGAAGTCACACGGTCATGCTTCAGAAGGCAGACCCACTGGCAGAACATATCCAGAAGAGCCTCATCTGTGGCCCAGAGGGACGTGGCAGCTAGTGGGAGAGTGGGCACCAGGCCAGGCCAGTGAGTAACTAATAACTGACATCTGACAGGGCTGACTGAGTCCATACAGCCCTGAGGATTTTCTTTTTTGTTTTTCTTTCTTTCTTTTGGTGGTGGTACTGGGCATTAAGCCCAGGGCCTTCACACTGAGCTAGATCACCTTACCTATTTTTTTTTTTTAATTAAAAAAAATTTTTTTTTGTTTGCCAGGGTTTTGCTAAGTTTAAAAGTTGCCC